ACTACTACTACTACTACTACTACTACTACTACTACTAGTACTACTACTACTACTACTACTACTACTACTACTACAACTACTACTACTACTACTACTACTACTACTACTACTACTACTACTACTACTTCGACTTCTACTTCTACTACTAGTTCTACTACTACTACTACTACTACTACTACTACTACTACTACTACTACTACTACTACTACTACTACTACTACTACTACTACTACTGCAATGACTATTACTACTACTACTACTACTACTACTACTACTACTACTACTACTACTACTACTACTACTACTACTACTACTACTACTACTACTACTGCTACTACTACGGTCCTGGGCCCCTCACCCGTTGGAGCCTTCATGCTTTCATTCACCTTCGCACCCTGATGTATGGATCTGCGTGGCCACGAGCGTTCGACTCCGTGCTTCCGTCTACCATTATACCTGCCGGATCGACTGTCCTTGTTCCATCCCGTGGCGACCAAGACCTCATTGCCGTTGAGGCTAATCGTGCTTGCCAAGTACACGATGCCGCGACATCCGATAGCGTCTGTCCTCGCCTTCGCGGCCGCGCCGGCATTGTCGGAGCTGGTCCTGGCACGGACCGTGCCCTCTGGGTCACCTGACTTTGTACTTCGCGCCACGCGAAGCGCAACTACCTTCCCCGAGCCCTACAGTCATCGAGCTACCGCAAAGAGCGCTGAAGAGGGAACGATTGGGCTCTCCTGGCCACGGCGAGCCTCCGCAACCAATAGGCCGCCCAGTCTACACTTCAGGAACGGCGCGACAACCGGAGCCCCTCACATGAGCCCAGCATGGTCCTTCTTGCGGCGCCTTGACTGCACCCGCTGCAGCTCCCCGCGCCCCTGATCTCCGCGCGGGCGCCGCCGCAGAGCCCGACCTGGCCCTCTGCAGCGGCGGGCCGCACAGGCCCCCCAGCGCTGCGGACGAGGGCGGCGCGCGGCCTGGGCGGGCGCGCGGGGGCGGGCTGCGGTCGGGAACGTGCGCAGGGCGTTCGCGCACCGCTTCCACGCTCGAGCGGCATCGGCCACGCCCGTCGGCAGCCCGCTGCAGCGCCCCTGCGAGGAGCGCAGGTCCGTCTCGCAGATCATCCACCTTCAGCGACCTTCAGCGATCGGGACAGGTGCTCCACCTATACAGCACGCTGCAGTGCACCTGGCATGCGGATAATCCGTCTGATGCTCCCAAGCCCCCCCCCCCCTCCATCGGGCACCAGGGGCGCCTTTTCTCCATGCACGTCGAACCCAACCACAGTGCGACTCAAAATTATCGCCAGGCAAAACGGGAGCGCCACACAGGCCGACCTGAAACAGACCTCGGACAAGGAATTGGCACCGTCGCGACAAGAGCCGTGTCGGAAATGCCCGAAGCGACTAATGACCCAGCCCGCCCAGGACCACCTGGTCCCGAAACAACGCGCGGCCGCGAGGCTTCCCGTGGCGCCCCCTCGCGTCCGACTCTGTCCTCGGCTCGGCTGACCTTCACCTCCCTTCGGTGGCCCCACGCAGCTTCCTGGCGCGGGACTCTCCAACCTGAACTCCTCACTGTCGGCAGCGCGCCCGGCTCCTCGCCTCCCATCACGTGCCTCCCGCCTCGAGGTGGGAGGCACGTGATGGGCGGCGCGCGAGGCGGCTCCGTCTGCTCCAGAGCGATAGGTCTGATCATAGGTCTGCTCGCGCTTGCACTGGCCGGCCGCATGCATGGTCGCCCTTACCGCCCGATTCCCCGCCTTGTCGAGGGCACCGCACTTCCAAGCACCGTGCGCTGCCACCACACCTGAATTGCAGGGCGCCCGCTAAGTTTTCGGCATTAGCGGTGCGACGTCTTGCCCTTCACCACAGCACTAATGTCCGTCCGATCGATGGCGTTGAACTCCACGAGCCGGCGGTGCGGCCTGCTACGCGCAGCCTGAAAGCGTCCATCGCACCTTTGAGGTCGGAGTTGCGCAAGGGGGCGAGCGGCTGCCCAGCCAACACCGCCACAACGCACGACCGACGAAGCATCGCACGGCAAATGTGTGTCGTGCCGACCCCAGTGACGTCAGATCGTTCAACATCGAAACGATCGACTGACGAAGCGTCGCACCCCTCGGGGAGCCTGTGTGCCAGTGACGGGAGCGCCGGGCGGAAGAACTCCAGACGCGGCTAGTACCGCCAACTGTGGCGGTGCATGGGGCCCACGCGCGGTGGGAATCGTGGCCACCTCGGAGCCCCCGAGCGCTCCATCCAGAGCAATGCGGAGGGAGAGAAGGCCAGGGGGGAGGGGCAGGAAACATGGGCGGGGGCGACAGCAGAGGGGCGAAGACGAGCCAGGTGCGCTCGCGCCACATCTGACATCCTACCCCTCCCAGCCATCCCTTCCCATTCCGCTGATTCCTTCTCTATCCGCCGGCACGTGTCACAGCGGACCTGGAACTCCAAGAACAAACCTCATCGTGATTTGCGCAATCGGAAAAGAAGAGCTGCCTACATTGGAGGAAGAGTTGGCGGATGAGCAGTTGGATGAGCAGGAGGAAAAGGAGGAAGGAGGAGGACGAAGACGAGGACGAACAGCAGCAGCAGGAGCTGGAACAGAAGGAGCGGGAGGAGCAGGATGACCAGGGGGAGGCGGAGGAGAGAAAAGGCGGGGGGCGACAACGATGAGGAAAGACTCGGATCCAGAAAACGATGGCCCGCGCTGGGACGAGGGCGCCATCCGAAACGACGGCAGGAAAGCGCCGATCCTAAAATGAGGCCAACGCTGCGGCGGCAGCACCATTTTGACACACCGAATTCGTCCATCTGTTGTTGAAGAACCTCCGAACTCCTGTGTAAAAACACGCGGCGGGGGGCGAGCGGCTCCCCGGTCATCTTCGGGAGAGAGAAGAGCGTAGCACTCACATTCAGCAAGTGTGCAGAGGGAAACGCAGAGGAGGAGACGGGGGATGGGGGAGGAAGGCGAAGGCGCGGGGGTGGACCACGGAAAGGGTGAGGACGAGGGCGAGGGCCAGGGCGACGACGAGCGGGAGGGCGAGAGCGAGGAGAGGGAGGACGAGTGCGAACACGGGGAGGACGAGGGCGAGGGCGAGAAGGGGAAGGACGAGGGCGAGGAGGGCGAGGAGGGCGAGGACGACCAGGACGAGGACGAGGGGGGGCCAAGGGAGGAGGCAGAAGACCGTTCTTCATCGGATTCATCAGGTCGCTCTCCTCCACCTGCGCTCGCCGGGCTGAAAAAGACCAGCGGGGGACTCCCGCCAACCCCTCCCAGACCTATCCCCTCCTCCTCCTCCTCCTCCTCCTCCTCCTCCTCCTCCTCCTCCTCCTCCTCCTCGAGAAGGGAGGCTGTCAATGAAGGAGCGCCTGCGTGAACTACAACCGCAAGCGCATCGGAGGTGCCCTTCGGTGCCCGAGCAACACATGCAATATCTCTGTCGCTAGGAACGGCGTGCTGCTTTGCATTACTGTTCTTACTGCTATTACCTAAGTGTGTGTGTATACATACATGGATGCATCATTATCATACGCACCTATCCGAGGGAGCAGAGCTCAGAGGCGACTAACTTGAAGCCGGCCTCCATTTGTTTCTAGCCGTCTCGCCCGGGACACTCGCAGCACTCCGAAAATTGGATGCACCCATCCCGCAGGTCGCGACGTCACGGTCCCAAAGCACAACGAATCTTCAACAGCGTACCAAACAACCTTGAAGAACACGATGGGTTTATGATGTTGGATGTCGCTCTTAAAAAAGAACAGCCGTTTCGCATGAGACATCCCGCCACACAATTGACACCCGACGTATTCAAAGTTGTCCTCATAATCTTCCAAACGACAGGTTGGCTCGAGATATCCTCAAGCATTGGCTTCGGAGCTTCTTTTCAAATGAAATCGCAAGGTGTGGAACACCTTCCTGCGCCACGAACATCGCAAGGTGTGGCAACCCCACCCGCGTTCGACTGCGATCCCGCTGCTGCACCTCCTTCCCAACAATCCCCTGGCGATCTTCATTATCATCCTTCTCTCTTTTCTCCTCTCCTTTTCCATCTCCTTCCTCCCCCTCCTTCTCGGATCTGGCTTCCTATTTCTCATGCTAACACTGGAATGTTTGCGTGCTGCTCCCCTTTTTGTGTGAGCCTGGGCACGCACGCGACACTTGTATACATCGCGCGGCCTCTCCCCTCCTGCATGTGCTCATGTTGCGGATTCACCGAACACGGTTTGCGCGAAGAGCTTTGGTTACCGAACCCTTGGCCTGTGTTCCCGGGGATACGAAACCGTTTCCCCGGGAACCGTTTCCCCCGAACCGCTTCCCCGGGACCGTTTCCCCGGAGGACCGTTTCCCCGGAGACCTCTTCCCCGGGGACCGCTTCCCCGGAGGAGCGTTTCCCTGGGACCGTTTCCCCCGTTCCGTTTCCCCGGGAACGCTTGCCCGGAACCGTTTCCCCCGATCCGTTTCCCCGGAGCCGGTTCCCCAGAACCGTTTCCCCGCAGCCGGTTCCCCTGGACCGTTTCCCCGGTGCACCGTTTCCACGGAACCGCTTCCCCGGAACCGGGTCGGGCTCGGGTCGGGCGGGCGGGACATTCAAACAGAATGCATCATCGAGTTGGTACGCGAGTACCCAAACGGGCGGGACGGGTCCGGCGGGCCGGCGGACCCGAACGGGCGGACCCAAACGGGCGGGACGGGTCGGGTCGGGCGGGCGGGACATTCAAATATAATGCATCATCGAGTTGGCACGCGAGTACCCTAACGGGCGGGACGGGTCCGGCGGGCGGCGGACCCTAACGGCGGGACGGGTCGGGTCGGTCGGGCCCTAACGGACCCTAACGGCGGGACGGGTCGGGTCGGGCGTGCGGGACATTAAGAATGATGCACCATCGAGTTGGCACGCGAGTACCCTAACGGGCGGGACGGGTCGGGCGGGCGGGACCCTGACGGGCGGCGACGGGTCGGTCCGGGCGGGCGGACCCTAATGGGAAAGGTCGGGTCGGGTCGGGCGGGCAGGACATTAAAGTATGATGTACCATCGAGTTGGCACGCGAAAACCCTAACGGGCGGGACGGGTCCAGCGGGCCGTCGGACCCTGACGGGCGGGACGGGTCGGGTCGGGCGGCGGACCCTAACGGGAGGGTCGGGTTGGGTCGGGCGTCGGCAGGGGGACATTAAAGTATGATGCACCATCGAGTTGGCACGCGAGGACCCTCACGGGCGGGACGGGCCGCGGCCTGGCGGACCCTAACGGGCGGGACGGGTCCGGCGGGCGGGCGGACCCTAAACGGGCGGGACGGGTCGGGTCGGGCGGGCGGGATATAAAAGTATGATGCATCATCGAGATGACACGCGAATACGCTAACGGGCGGGACGGGTCCGGCGAGCGGGCGGACCCTCACGGGCGGGACGGGTCGGGTCGGGCGGGCGGACCCTCACGGGCGGGACGGGTCGGGTCGAGCGGGCGGGACATAAAATAATGGTGCATCATCGAGTTGGCACGCGAGTACCCAGACGGGCGGGACGGGCCCGGCGGGCGGACCCTAACGGGCGGGTCGGGTCGGGTCGGGCGGACATTAAAGTATGGCGCGCCATCGTGTTGGCACGCGAGAACCCTAACGGGCGGGACGGGTCCGGCGGGCGGGCGGACCCTGACGGGCGGGACGGGTCGGGTCGGGCGGGCGGACCTTAACGGGCGGGACGGGTCGGGTCGGGCGGGCAGGACATTAAAGTATGATGCGCCATCGAGTTGGCACGCGAGTACCCTAACGGACGGGACGGGTCGGGCGGGCGGACCCTGACGGGCGGGACGGGTCGGGTCGGGTCGGGCAGGACGGGTCGGGCGGGTGGCCCTCGATGATGGATGAAGGAGAAGAGGGGAGGAGGAAGTAGGGAGGGATGAGGGATGTGGGGCGGAGGGACGTAGCGGCAACGAGGGATGGGGGAGGGCGGGAGGGCAGAGAGGGATGGATGAGGAGGAGGAAGAAGAGGAGGAGGAGCAGCAGCAGCAGCAACAGCAGCAACAGTGTAATGAGAGAGAGTAGCAGGAGGGAGTCGCCTCTGTGGAACCCGTCTTGTGGAACCGGTCCTGTGGAACCAATCCTGTGGAACCGGGCTTGTGGAACCGGTTCTGTGGTACTGGTCCTGCGGAACCGGTCCCGTGGAACCGGTTCCGTGGAACCGGTTCTGCGGAACCGGTCCTGTTGAACCGGTCTTTGTTGAACCGGTCCGTGCTGAACTGGTCGTCTGTTGAACCGGTCCCTGCTGAACCGGTCGTCTGTTGAACCGGTCCCTGTTGAACCGGTCGTCTGTTTAACCGGTTTTCTTCCGTTTCCGGGTTCTCGCCTGGCCGCCGCCCGTGGGAGCCCCGTGGCCGCCCAGTGCGCTGGCTGGCGCTGCCGAGTTTTCACGCAATGCCCGCTCGTGCAAACCTGTTTGCCGCCTCGTGCGCCGGCTGGCGCTTCTACAGTTTGACCATTGCAGCAACGACACTCATGTTAAGACTGTTCGCTCTTACTTGTTCGCGTGCCATTCAACACGTATATCCCAAACCCTCGATGCCCGCCATTTTCGTTTTCGATCGTACCCTTTGGGGGGCATATTTGGCTTACTTGCCACGCGTATCTACCGCAGTCCCTACAACAGGGGAACAGAGAACGGATGGAAAGGGGGAGGGAGAAGGATGGAGCACGAGAGAGAGCAGCAGGATGGGGGCTAGGAGCAGAAAACACGCGGCAGAACCAGACGGGCAGATCGGGCGGGTAGACCCTAACGGGCGGGTCGGGAAGGCGGGCCCAGGCGGCCATGTCGAGCAGGCGAATTGCTAAAGCGGGATTTCTCGAGGATAGCGCGACTCCCAAGTCAATCGCGAGAAAGGCCAGAGCGAGAGCGTGATTCCCGGGTGTCGATGGCGCAATGAAGTGCACATATTTGCTGCGGACGTAGAGACCGAGGCGGGTAAAGGCCTGCGGATCCGCGGCGCAGCAAGTTCTCGGAGACGGGATCGACGAGGACCTGAATTTGGTGCAGCTCCGCGGTGCGGCAGGCTTTCGGCGAGGAACGCGCCGAGGACTCGAAGGTAGTGATGACGGCCGCTGCGGAGGCAGAGGTGACGAAGGACACGGCTGAGGCGAAGGCCCAATGACATGCCAACCTGAAGTCGGAGACGCTCACAGTGGGGAAGGATGACATTGAGATTCAGTTTGCGACGCGCGCGCTGAGCGGTCTTGGCGCCGCGCGGCGGCGCCCAACGCCTCGAGAGGCTGTGCCTGGCTATGACATTGAGATTCAATATGTTGACATGGTCGTCGGCCACGCGCTCAACACGAAGGCAATGCAGGAGGCGCTGTCCGAGGGCCTCCACGGCTGGGCAAGAGCTGACGCTTGAGCACGGTGATCTGCTCGAGTGACGACGGGAATGCTCTCCGACGAGGACCGCCCAGATACAGTCCCTCGCGGCTTCTTGGCAACATATGATGAAGTTCCAAGACGGAGCGGTGCAGGAGATACCGGTCAATCTTCGGCTATCACCTGAGATGACTGCGAGTGCAAAACTAATCCCGCACCCGCTTACCAGGTTGAGCCCCGAGGAGGCCCCCGCGGTTTTTCGACTTCGGGCCGCTGAGCCTCCAGCGGCCTAGCAGAGTGGCCATCCGCGGATCGAGTGTTCGACTTAGCACGTACGCCATAGCGGCGTATCCCCCAACCATAGCTGAGGCAGGGATGTGTCGGGGGATGGGCTGTGCATTCGGGACTCTCAAACCCACCTTTCAGTTAGGGGGACCTCCTCGTTCTCGCGTGCTTGGGCGTCAGGACGCGAGGAGGCATCCGAGCCAGGCTCGGGAGTTCCTGAAGTACCCGCCTGGGCCCCCTGGAGATTCGCACGCGCATCGCGGCGGCCCCGGCGACACGCCATGTCATGCCTTCATAGCGGATAGCGCGTCGCTCCCCTCCAAGGGGTGGGAGACTAGGAAAAGCTCGAGACGTTGACGCCTGGGGACTGGGACGTGGATAGCGTCTCAGGCAGAAGCGTGGTGGGCTGAAGTTCCCGACTGTAATTCCTCCTCCTCCTCCTCCTCCTCCTCCTCCTCCTCCTCCTCCTCCTCCTCCTCCTCCTCCTCCTCCTCCTCCTCCTCCTCCTCCTCCTCTTCCGTCCACCTCCGTCCTCCTCCTCCTCCTCCTCCT